GACTCCGTGATTGTGCCCACCCCCAAGATCCTATATGTATGTGTAATGAGAGTGTGAATAATGTGAATGTCTAAGTTGTGGAATTGTACATAATTCTTAATGCTAATGACCCAACTTTCAGGCTTACACCTTTCACAACAACAAATCGTTTGAAAAAGATTAACACAGCCGGTGATTTTGGAATGATGCAGTCTAATGGTTTCATTACCGGTATATATATTTTGCATTCTTTTCTGAGTTCTCTTTGCAAACATGGAGCTGTTACTTCACTGTAGCACTTCATTGAGTGTGTACCTGGTTGCTGTGCATCATGTCCCTGAGGCTGGTTAGCGCGTGGATCCTCACGTCCACGTTCTCATGCTGGACGGCTCTCATGGAGAGCTGCAGTGCGGCAGCCAAGTCACTGCTGCTGGCCGCCAGCTGGAAGAAGAAAAGATAAAATACAACACAACAATGTGTTGTACGTATGATCACTGTCAACCAGCCTTTTGTTTCACATTCATTTTACTTTCTGTTGTGCCCTTCATACAGACCTTTTTATAATCCTGCATTACTGTGTGGATGTCTTTTAGCTCTGGATGGTCTGGTAGAAAGTAAATCTCATGGAGGTAGTCACTGACTTCTTCCCTGTAATTAAATGACAGAAGTGAGGCATCTAAAAGTGCACATACACCCACACCTATGTACATATACAAACACACTCTTTCAAGTACCTACATACGCATACATACATACTCATCCATGTGTACCCTTTTACACATTGTTGTGTATGTCTACACAAGTGTCCATTCAGCACAAAAAGGAAATAAGACCAGTTGTGCACAAGAAAAATCAGGTTGATTGAAAAGAGGATGAGATGGGAATGAATAAGATCCTTTTCCCACATTATTCACAATCCTTTTGCATACTCTAAAACCATTTTGACCAGTTTAACTAATGAGGGAAGTTAAAACTGTAACCGAAAGATGTGTCTTTGTGTTTGCACGCTGATCAAATGTGCACATTTGTGCTTATGTTTGCTACCTGTTGTCCAGGATGAGGAAGCGGATGATGGCGGCAGTTTCTTTGGGCTGCAGTGGAATCAAGGGGAGCAAAGCAACAATAACGTGACTCAGTAGGGGGCCCAGGTGTGCAGGCTCCACACTCCTCACAAAACAATCCCACGTCCTACCCAGAGGAAAAGGGAGTGTATAAAAAAAAAAAAACGAATTAGAAACAGATGTCTGAGCAAATGCCAACGAATAATAAAGATAAATGCATCACAATATGTGACTTTATGTGCAAGTATACAAGTACTGACTGGCAGCAGAGGAGAGTGAAGTCTTCTCTGTATCGCAGGCCGGTGCGTAATGTCGTCATCATCTTCACTCTGACAGAGCTGATGTGTTTGGAGCCCATCAGTCGCATCAGAGCCATCACACTTGTCAAAACCTGCACGAAGAACAGGCAGACATGTTCACTTTGAGCCAAGGAGATCTTTATTGGACAATTAACCAATCAGATTTAAAATTCTGGTATTTTAGAGGATCAATTACCAGTTTCTTGCGGTCTTTTTCTCCTGCACTGGAGCTAAGCAGCTGCATGTTGAAAAAGGCAAGAATCCCCAGCAGCTTTGGCTGTAAGTAGTCAGCCTAAAGATAAAAACAAGACATTCATTAATGGATAATTAGCAGATGATTAGTTGCTTATTATCTCTTTAATTTTTTTTTTTGCATAGAAAAATTACATTTTTGTTTTAAATTAATTACATAAAACATATTTCACAGATTCTGAAGCCTAAATTGTTTCATAAAGTATTTTTGTCTAGTCAAATGTCAAAAAGACAAGAAACTAAAACACTGATATGAAATGCAGAGGATGCCAAGTACCATAAGTTCTGAGGTGGTGATGTCTCGGGGTCCCTGGTATGGATCATCACTGGATGCAAAGGAGGCCAGGATTGCCAAGCCATTGAATACCTGCAAAGAAATAAACACTTATGAGAACAGAAACTAGAGTCTGTGTTTTAGATCATTTGTGAGTTTTATTCAAGAGGAGGCCTTGTGCAGAATAATTTCCTCAAAGCCACATATTTTGAAATAGATTTAATGTTTAGAAAATCTGTTTCCACATGTGTGTCAACCTGTTGGTAGTGCTCTCCAAGACGCAGCAGCAGCTCATTATGAAGACCCTGGAAGTCTTGGCGTAGCAGAGATCCCAGTTCAATTTCTGTCTCACTCTGAAAGAACATGAAGGAGAAGAAAAATAAACTTGTTTTTAAGATGACCTCTTCAGGTACATGACTCTAAATCATGTTTCAGCTGTAAAATGCAAGTAAAGTTGTTCATACTTGTAGGTAGTGAAAGGCCCTCTCCAGCTCCTCCTTTGTGCAAGAACAGACCAGATGGCTGAAGATGTACTTAAAGTTGTTGATCAGGATCTCTCTCCTGTTTGCCTTCAACTCAATGGCCAAAGTTCGAATGAGAGCAGAGCCTGTAGAGCTTGCTTTTGCTGCTAGGTAAGGTAGCAACACCTGGAGGGTCCGCTGCATAAACAAACATGCAAGAAAGCACCAATGTACATCACATAAAGAGGGCTTACTATCTGTGTGTGGATGCGTGTGCATGACTGTACATACGGTGAGGAAGCGGTGGAGGTCTGGAAAGTCAAAAGCATGCGCGATCTGAGCAAGAATATCCAGAGCCAGCTCCCTCTGATTGGCTGACTCAGTTCCTTGATCTGGTGTGCTCCGCAGGGCTGACGCATGGCGCGAATGTAGTGACTCCACCAGGAACTAAAGGCAAAGAAGATATAGTAATGGACTGTAGATTTTCCACAAAAACAGTATCTAAAACAGACCAAATGAAAACTAAACCAATGCAATTTTCAAACATTAAATCCACATATATACTATGAATAACAGTATTATAGAGCAAGTCATCTAACTCATAATAAGCAGGTGAATAGGATGGGTTTGGTCCAATTTAAACAAAAGACTAGATACCTGGCAGATAGGGTTCTTGTACTGACTGAAGAGTGTCTGCAGTTTCAAGCCTTTAGTGGTGGCCAGGGCTCGAATTTGAGTGTAAGCAGCTACAGACACCTGGGACGACTTGGACAGGAGACAGTGGAGCAGACGCAGCAGAGAGAACGACACCAAACTACCCTGAGAGGCTCTGACAGAAGAGGAAAGGGGAATGAAGAAATTTCCTTCATTAAGTAGTCTTTTTAATTGTATTAACAAAAGAAATCATCTGTTTTCTACATCTAAGTGGATATGAAAATAATACAAACTAATAACAACTAGCAACACAGCATTTTATTTCTGTATATAAGGTCAATAATTTTATCTCCCATCTTATAACATATTATTCATTAAAAACAATTACTATAACTCATACAGCTTGTGGAATAAAAAAAAAAAGCTGTCTATATACCTGCCGATCTCTCCAGTGGTGAGGATCAGAGTGTTACGCAGGTCATCATCTCTGTTAAGTTTAGCAGTGCTGAATGCCTCTTTAAGACGTGCAACCAGGAGCTGTGATGGTGACACACACCACATCAAAAAACAAGTAAACATGCAACATTAAACTATATTGATTGGGGGGAATATGGTGAAATTTTACCCTGATAAAAATATAATTAGGTTATAATAATAAAAATATAAGAAAAACTGGAGTCAGAATTGCTCACCTCATTCAAAGAGCCCTGCTCAGAGTTTCTAGTGGTCTCTGCTAGCAGGAAACGCACTGATTGGCTGAAGCGTGTTCTAACCACAGGATCGGAATCCTCCATTAGACCAATCAGGGCACAGAGTACGGCTCGGGAATCGCTGTCTGCACCAGTGAGATTCACATGCTGGCACAGGTGGGGAAGAGCTTCTAGGAAAGCTGGCAGTGAAATGTATAAAATGTTTAAGAAAACAGCAGCTGTGAACTGATTTCAATGCATCAGCTGTTGTGAAAAACTTATGGTAAAAAGGTACCTTGTTTCACGGTGCTTGGAGCTTGTGGTCTGAGCAATGGTAGGAAGGGTCTAACAACAGATGCCTTGAGGGATGGCACTGCTTTCCCAGCATGATCTGTTTCAAGACTACAAGAGAGGCAAAGGATTTTGGGAAGACAAGGGGAGTCTGTGTGGATGTCACTAAGGCTGGAGAGCTCTGATTGGAGGCAGCTCAGCTGACCAATGATCCTGGCAAGTTCCTTCTTCACCTGCTCCGAACTGTCCTCCAGCTTGGAACTACAATTATCAAACATACGCCATGAAATATAACAAAGTAACTGATGATATCAATGAAAGAAAGACAGAAAATATCAGTGGTCAAGTACTAAGTAATGTATGAGTTTCCATACAGCAAAGTAGTGCCAATGAGGTTGTAGTGCATGTTTCCCAGATGGTGGAGAAGAAGAGGGAAAGCCTTGACTGCTGCTACTCTCACCACCTCCTCCTGACTCTGCAGCGCCTTTGAAAACACACACACGCGCCACGTCTCGCACACACCGCCATGTAAAAAGGCCAGCAGCGACACGCAATCAGCCTGGACCTCAGGTGCTGGAAAGAAAGACGTCTTTAAATGACTTTTAAAGCAGTCGTTTAGGTTTTCATTAAAAGAAAAAGAAGCACACAGGAACACTCACAGTAGCAGAAACCGAGTCTCTGCGCCAAGGCTAGCAGCCAGGAAGGGAAGCCTGAAGTCTTATAGGCTGAGACAGACTTGTTCTCACACACCCAAGGAAGAGACAACAGAGCACACACATGTTGTTGGAGCCTGTCATCATTCTGGCTGCTCACTAAAAAAAAAAGAAAAAGAAGAAGATTATGATTATAATAAAGGATGTGTATCTGGCTTGATTTCTATCTTCAAATTAAACACAAACAAATATGGAAAATACATCAACTTTTATTTTGACAACAAACTAAACCAAAAACATCTGGTATTTTTGTATTTAGACCCTTACTTGTCAGGTAAAGTATAGAGTCGAGGACCCTGACAGTGATCTGGACAGCAGACTGAAAGTAGCTCCGATTTGACACAGGCTGAGATCCTCCTTCTAACACTGACTGACAGCTCTTCAGGGCCCTGCTCAGCGTCTCAGTGGGAACCCAAAGGAGAGGTGACAAGCTGCTATAACAAAGAGATGTTGAGGTGAATAATATGCTATTAATCACTGTGAACGACATATGTCAAACTGGAGCCAGGAAAGTAAGCAATCTCTAATATTAAACACTATTAAAATAAAAAACTAGAGAAAAAGTTTTTCTGAGAGGCAGAAAAAAGGTAAAAAGGAGAGGGCTTGTGTAAGAGCATGGGCGTATGTTTGGGAATTACCTAACAGGTGAGGAGCAGAGGGCTGCCTGATGGAGAATGAGGGCCAGTCCCTGCAGAGCAGACAGACTCTGGGTGGTCTCAGGCTTAGCAGAACTGGAGTCCAAAAGCATCAGCAGCTCCTCCAGCCGACTGTTTAACGCAGCCCAAACCTTACTGCGAACACGCATGTCCACTTTGCTTAAGATAGAGACACAGACATTACTTCAATACGACATATGAGACATTTAAAAAAAATTGTTTGAGATTTTCATGGTTATTGCCAAATAGTAAATGTTGATGCACTCACCTTGAGGATGTTTTAGGAGTTTTACCGACTGAACTGGTGGCAGATTTGCAAGACTTCTTGGCAGGTGTTGCTCCATCTTTACACTCCTGCAGCACTAAAGCTGTCTCAGCCTTCAGGGCAGCTCGGAGAAACCCTTCTGCACACTGCGAACAACAAGCATAGCACATATTGTAAAGAGGGAAACACTGTATGGATATCAAAAGGATAATTTAAAAGGAAACACAAAGAACAGAGTTGTACTTCAGCTTGATTTGCTGTCCCCACGGTGCATGCTAGTGTCCCGCAGACTTCGGTGACCCGCTGCCTCCTAAGCAACGCGGCGCTCTCATAAACTGGTGCTACAGATAGCGAGAAGCTAAACAGCAGGCAAAGTGACTCGGTCACTTCTACACCTAACCTGACGCCAGCTCCAGCAAGAGTGCAAACACACTCGAACATCTGTGAGAGGTGGATGGGCTCAAAGTGTGAGTGAGAAACATACGATTGCTGAAACACGCAACGGGTCAGGCTTAACAGCTCTCCTTCGTAAGCTTGCTTCTCATTTATGTTTGCTGTGGCAGAGTAGGAATGTGTTTCCAGCAACTGGAAGTAGGCTGCAAAGAATTCGTGGCCCTGCATCTCAGGAAATCCTCTGAGCTCCACCAGTGTTCTCAGCATCACCATGGAGGCCTTCCTCAGCCCGGTGTTCCCGTTGGACAGGATGAAGCATGCAGCTTCCCAGGCTACACTCAGGTCACGACGGGAGATGACTCCCCTCAGAGACTCAGTTATGATGTTGATCGTTACGGCAGTCAGCGACTCCAAGGCAGCAGGTGAGGAGAGCACAAGGGCAGAGGGGGTGAGGTATGAGGAGGCACAGAGGGGGGATAAACTGAAGCACTTGAGGTTTATAGGCCACTGGTTCTTTGTGTGAATGTCCAAAACATGTCCCTGTCCTGCAAGTGTGCAAATATGTGCATACAGGTTATGGCTGAGTTCCTGGGACAGAAATATGAGTTCCTGAATAAGGCAATTAAAGATAAATGGTGCCCGGACTCGCAGAGTGTGAAATAAAGAGCACAACACAGCAGAGACCCGTCCATGGATGATATCACAGCCTGGAGCTGCTGCCACACGAAGGAAACGCACCGCCACCCACTTACTGAAGTCTAAAATCAAGACAAGGAATGAGAAGATATTAAAGGACAAAACTAAAAAGGAAAAACATGTTCAGCTTTATTTTCTCTAATTTCTGAAATCACTTATGGCAGCATTTTGAGAAGAATTTCCTACCAGTGCAGCTCTGTGTTGTTTCTGGGTATTCAGCAGGCTGACAGGCAGGGTTGGCAAACATCAGAGATGAAGATTTAACTATGTGCTGCACAAAGTCCAGCAGCATCACACAGGCTGGCTCTGAGGTGGACTTCTTACTTAGCCCTAAAGCAACTGCAAGACAAGACAACTGCTTTGTTAAAAGAGCTGGTACACATACAGAGGATAAGTCAAATATTCTTGCAATATTAACTTGAAAAGTCACTAAATGATAAAAAGCTTAAAGAAACACACTGATTTAAACTCCAGGTACAAGATTTATTCAAAATAATCTGAGAAGCCGAGCCATCATAAATTTATACAACAGCAGCAAGAACACAGAAGCAGACACAGGTTTATATTAGTTGTACTTTTCCTATCTCTAGTCACACCCGATGTGCCCTCTTTGTGTTTTGGAACTTTGTGTTTCCCGAACAAACACCTGCCAGCAATGTGAATTGCTGTTATATCACCTTCATATTCCAGGGGAAGTTACAGGTGCAGGTGTAGAGTAAGGGGCAAGATTCATGCAAGTGCGGGGAAGACAAAAAACTAATATGGTTTATCATAAACTCTGCGTACGAGATGTAACAAAGGTAAAGATAAAGGAATTAAGGGAATGATGGAATAATGTCTGATGTGCACACATGAGCTTGTTAGAGTTTATATTTCATATCATCAAAAACATTTTAATATTAGACAAAGATAACTCGAGTAAATTCAAAGTGTAGTTTTTAAATTTTGATTTCATTTAATATGAGAAAGAAAAACTACCCAAACCTACCTTGCGCTCAATGAAACAGTAATTCCTCCCTTTTTAAATGATGAATTAATTGTGATTTATCACATTGGTTGAAAGCTCAGTTTAATTTCACAAGTAACACCCAGACCTTATTACTGCCATGATGGCTTCTTGAACAAGAAATGCCTTAAATAGAACCTATCTGAGGTGAAGTAGGTTAAAAGAACTCAAAAAGCAACACATCATGTCAAGATCTAAAGAATCTGCTGAGAAAGTCATTGACATCTATCGCTCTTGAAAGGGTTACAAAACCATTTCTAAGGCTTTGAGACTCCAGTGATCCACAGCGAGAACCATGAGCCACAAATGGAGAATGCTTTTAACAGTGGAAAACCTTCCCAGGAGTGGACAGCCAACCAAAATTGCTCAGAGAGTGTATCAACAACTCATCCAGTAAGTTACAAAAGAACCACGAATAATGATCAGTGATCCCACACCCACCAGGAAGTCTTAAATGCATAAAAAAAACCCCATAAAAATCAAAGTGAAAGTTCTGCAGTGGCCTAGTCAAAGTACAGGCTTAAATATAATTTAAATGCTTTGGCATGACCTTAAACAGACTGCTCATGCTTGAAAAACTTCCATTATGGCTGATGTTATGTGAAAGACTTGTTGCAACTTATCACCATCACTTGATTGCAGTTCTTCCTTTTAAGGTTGGCACAACCAGTTATTAGGTTTAGGGGGCAGTTACTTTTTCACACAGGTTTAGATAGGTTTTTTTCCCAATTTTTATCATCATCATCATCATCATCATCATCATCATCATCAATCTTTATTTATTTATTTTTAACAGGATTTTTTCAGGAATTTATAATTTGCATGTTACATTTACTTAGGCCATCTCTGTCTATTTTAAAAATTTGTCTAATGATCTAAAACATGCACGTTTGACAAATATACAAAAAAGGGAAAAGAAATCAGCGAAGTATATTAACAAGAGGGAATAGTAGTCATGGTAAGCAACAACTTCAGGGAATGTTTCAGCAGATAAGTCTGACAGTATGCACCAAAAAGCTGTTTGTTTGTTTTTTATGTCCTTTCAGAGGCTTTTATTATGGTGACCACCCCTAGTATGTGTCGATATTCCCGGCTTACCGACATCCACATCTGTCAGTATCCTGTCGATGAACTGGCAGAGAATCTGTCGAGGTTTCTGTACCACCTGGCCGTACTCTGCAGCGCTCGCACTGCAAATATCAGCACGATGTTATTCACAGAGACATGACGAAGCAAAGGTTTTTATCGACTTCAATAAGTAAAGACGAGGACTCACTTTAGCCCAAATAAGTGGTACTGTTAACTACTTAGCTCTTAGCCAACTTTAGCCGTGTACTCACCTAGCTAGCTCCTGAAGAGCCGGTATCATCGCAGACATTTCCAGACCTTCCATTTTTAAACTTTTTGTGTCGCTGTTCGATAAAACTCTTTAATACATTAATATATGGCTCTGTCTAATCATTTTAACCAGTACACATCTCCACGTCTCCTTCTGCCTGTCAAGTCTTTCCAAAACTTTCGCTCCAAAATGACGTTTCTGTTTTGATACGGAAACCAGCGAGGGTCTATAAGCTCAAACAAAACGCAAACTAGTAAATGCTCCCTCTGGTCGCTAAAGTAACGTTAAAGTATGTGTTTTACGGCAGGAAAATGTTTTTTAAAAAATTGTTAAAAAAAATGTTAATAGTAAAGGTACCACAGGCCCATAGTAAAGGTCTTAAAAAGTAGGTAGGGTAAAAATATACAAAACAGTGATTTTTTTTAAAGGAGAAGTAAAAAAGGTGAAATAAAAAATCTAATTGAGACTGTGCAAAAGAGTAGTGCAATTGCAGTAGTAAATAATATGTAACAAGAGGGTATAATACAAAATAGTACAATGTAAATATTTGTGAAACTGTGTATGCCTACCTACAAATGTGTTACTTTACTATTCATGAGGCATTTGTATGTATTTTGTGATTAGAATTTAATGTATATCTTAATTAAGTTGCTAAATTCAAAATTACAATAGAATTCCTTAAATCAGTTAAATGGCATTTATATAGTACAAAGTCACAACAAAAGAAACATTAAAACACTTTATATTGTAAGGTAAAGAACCTACAACAGAACAAGAGAAACACAAGTGTTTCAGTCCCTTTATTCACCATGCAGCTTTTTAAAAACACTTAAGATGTATAAGATGTAGGGATGGGTACCGGTGTCCGGTGCCATGATGGCACCGGTTCTGACATAAACGGTAGTAACCAGACCGAAAAGCAGCGCACATTTCGGTGCTTTATTTCGGTGCTTTTTTTTCCTGAGCTGTGATACACTTCTAGCCAATCATTTTACGTTTCCGAGGATAGTAGGCGGGGCCAGGTACGTACGTTCTGTTAGAGCAGAGCTACAGATTAAAAATGCCCAAGGCGAAGCGGTCGAAAGTCTGGCTGTACTTCACAGCAAAATATGCAAACTCAGCAGCAACAAGTGCTTTAAGCTGATACTGTGATACTGTCAAAGGAGGTAACACCAAGAATCCGATTAAACAGCTGGCGACGCATAGCGTTTTTTTTTAAAGCCGCCGTATTTGATAGCTTGCTGCGAGACCTCACACCGTGCACGTCGGGTGGGTTGCCAGTTATCGGACCCGGAGCAACACCCCCCAAAAACCCGAAGAATAGAGTCCTGGCCCTTAGCCCTGCCAGTGTAGCAGAAATGATGATGAGGATGATGATGCAGCAGCAGCCATTCTTCTCTGTGTGAGTAGCTTAATGTTGTTAGTGTGTAATTTACGTTGAGTAGGCTAACCACGTTATTACATTAATGCAGGTAAGGTGAACTAGCAAACACCATCATAGCTACATGCGGCTGTCTTCTTGTTTGATGGCAGATGCTCCCTTCACCCTGCCAAAAAGGCTAAAATGACCAAAGAAAAAGTGGAAAACAGTTAAACATGAGAGGTTTTTGGACAAAGTTTGTGTTTTTTTCCATTGTTTAAGCACTGCTTCCAGCCAAGAGTGATACCATATATGCCACATAGCTGCAGAAAAGGCTAACATTGTTATCTTTTTACAAAAAACAGCTGAACATGAGAGGTTTTTGGACCAATTTTGTGTTCTCCATTCTTTAAGCACCGGTTCGAGCACCGTTTAAGCACCGGCACCGTTTCAAAAGTACCGATTTGGCACCGGTATCGGATAAAACCTAAACGATACTCATCCCTAATAAGATGCTTCCCCCTATCTAAAGGGGAGACTGAAATATATTTGAAAATGGGTAATAAGTAAATAAATAAATAAATAAATAAATAAATATCAAGTAATGTCAGTTTATTGTCACCTCCCATCTTTCAAGTATTTTTAACCTTAAAGTTTTTAGTTATGCTCATTTTAGAAGCTATGTAGAAAAGCCAGATTTTTGCTTTTAATGGCTTTTGATTCAATTATATTTCATGCACTTCTGAACTAATATACATGTTATAACCAATTTGCTCTTTACTTGTGTTTTGATACAGAAAAAATTCACAGGTACTTTGTACATTTGATAGATTCTTTTTATTAATTAAATAGCAATATTCAATGCACAACATTTACAGACATAAAATGTATTTGACAGAACAGATGTGTGTATAATTCTGCTTTTTCTTCTGCCGGATCTCTGGCTCATATTGCAGAAGAAGTAAATAGAATTGGTTAAGTTTATTAAAGCAAAGAACAATCTTCCATAAAATCACGTATAAAAAAAATAATCTTTATTGATGGAAAAAGATTTACAGCTTTCTTTTCTTGCAAACGAATAATAGAGAATGCTAGACTGTTTTTGTTTTGTACGCACGGCAAGGTTAAAACTTAAAGAAAATTTTTAAAAGTAAAATACAAATATATTTTTCCATCTTCATTCAGTGTTGTTTGTGCCTACTTCAGTTTTTGGCTTTCTTCATACCATGCCCCATGAGGCAGGCAAACACAGTCATCACCATCTTGGGGTTGACCTCCACCAAATCATCAGGCAGAGCGTAGACACGAGCGCCAATCTTACGAGCCAATGAAATTGCATACCTAAGAGCAGCAAAAACGGAGAGAGGAGTAAGGAAATTAGAAAAGAGCGAAAAATCCAAAGAGGTTGGGAGTTTAAAAACGTTTTTTTTTCTTACTTGGCATTGTTGATTTTATCATCTTTCTTCAGCACTCCATTTTCTCCTCTTGCCACCACGGGGAACTTGACCATCCCCGGAGCAATTACATCAATCAGGTCAATCACTGGCAGGCTGGTGCTGATCAGCTTGTCCTGCAGAAAACAGGAAAAAGGGGTTTAAAGCACACAGTCTTTTGATATCATACCATTTCACAAACAAAGATACACACCTTGAAGCTGGTGATTTGTGTGTCCTTTCTATTCTGGCTCAGCATCTTGTTGACCCAGTCCAGGATGATTTGATCTACCACCCTCTCTCCATCACCCAAATCAGACAAAACTTGAATTGTGTACCTGGCGGATTGTAAGAAGTACAGGTAACTGAAACTATACAAGGAGCAGCAGTCGCCAAAGCATGGACTATCTGTTTTCACCAAACACATATACTACAGCAAGCAAAACATCCTGCAGCTCTGCGTGCACATACCTCCTCATCAGCTGCCAGACCAGCCCTAAGGTGTGTACACGACTCCCCTCGTTTAGATTTACTCCTCCAATTCCAACCAGGGAGAAGCGGGCGACATCCCTGCCCAGCTCCACAGCATAGTTACAGTTTTCCAGCTGGGATACAGGGAAAAAAACAAAACATCTCTCATATTTCCCACTGCTGTGCTTTTCCTGTCATTGTCATTGTGACAGCTCTGCTTGTTAGCATCTAGTACCTTCTTCATGTTGGCCCCCAGAGCAGGATAAGGAGGGCGGTTGACTTTCTTCCAGTTCACAAACACATTGACCTTATCATAAAGCTGCAGAATCACCAAGCCGTCACACAGGTCACTGGATAAAAACAATGACACATATAATGGATTTCAATAGAAGAAGAAGGAAAAAAAAGACCACCTCTGAGAACACTTAGAGCATGTCATCTCTATTTTTGTTGAAATATGGACTTTTAGCAGCCTTAGGGGGAGTTCATGTTGTACTGTGCTTTAAAACTAACAAATAGTAATAATTACACTAATAATTAAATAAGGGATTTATTATTTTCAATGCTGTCTGCATGAGGAAAGCGTTAAAATTTAGGATATCTAAGCCCATATCTTACTCTTGTGGAGTCTTCAGTGAAATGATAAATGAGGACACATGCTAATCCATTCTCACCCTCATTAAATGAAGCCGTGATCTTGATTTACAGCTCCATTCACCCTAAATAACTGATATGGTCAACATGATTATTTATAACTGATGACATACTGGTAAAGATGGTGCACATTTGGAGAAACACCCAGAGAGTTCATCCAGTTGCGAAATGTTTTTTCTTCTCTGGTCTCCCCTAGAATGATATGAAGACATCATACATGTTATCATACAGTTGACTTCATCTATAGTCTGGACGTCTGCCACAAACTCAAGCACCTATTATCATCTCTGGCTTATTATTGGTCTATGGCATGTATAACTAGCATAGCATTACGTCTGTTTTCTCCATGCTCATTTTATGTACTGTACATTTCAGCATTTTATGACTCTGTCGTGTAATTGTAAGGCCAAGATGTAGTGGTGGATGTATCTCACTCTCTATGTGCTCTAAATCGCCTCCGTTCATCAGAAGCTTCTGCAGACCGGGGTGCATGTTGAACAGGTTGGCCACAAAGGCCATGTTCAGTTTGCTGTTTCCAGATGTGACATCATGAGGAGTAACAAACTGCCTGCATTCCAGTCTGGCTGCCTGCTGCAGCATCAGCTCCGCCCTTTTCTCCAAATCCCACTCCTTCACAACAAACACACACAGAGACATATATGCATAGAAGAACGGTATAGACGCTATGTAAATATGAGAATGTGAAGAAAACAGGTTAAAATGACAAACAGAAATGTTTATCTTTACATTTAGCTTTATTTATTAGTTTCTCATTGTTATGTGAAAAGTTTGTGGCTCACATTGAGACCGCTCATGTCAATTTTTATCCTCATTTGGAATTCATCCTCCTCACAGGAAGTGATCTGATCCATCAGGTGGAAATAGGCCCGTGAGTCCTTCGGTGGGAGAGTACAAGATGAGGTTACTGATGACTCTGTATTCACGTGTGTGTGTATTTATTCTGCACGGTACCTTGATGTCTTCGCTGAAGTTGCTGATTGTTTCCGTTCCAGCATTGCGTAGATGATAGTTGACCCAGCGGAGCAGCAGCTCGTCAGGGGAGAGAGACATTAGGTGCTCCAGTGATTCTCCATCTGCTAGGAGGGCAATCAGACCTGAAAACACATAACAGCAGTTAATCAACTGTTAAAGCAAGAAAGAGGAAATTAATAAAAAACTGCATTTTTACCTAGAAGCAGCAAGATACTCTCAATTAAAAGTAATACAGTTGTGGTTATGCTGGTCAAAGTAAAGAAGACACGCAAAAGAATTCACTAATTTGTTACAAAA